TCTTTCGGACGACTTTTGGTAACTTCAGATCTGGCATCTCGAGTATTTAGGCCAACGTTCGGGAATTTTAAAAATCTGTGGATACCAACCTTTCCGTTGTGCGTGAGGTCGAGCGATGACGCAAACGGTACAACAATGGAATCAGAAGGACAAGGAACTTTTCAAAGAAAGGATGAAACTTTTGCTTGCAAATTTTAATCTAAAATGAAATCTACCGAGCTCTTATTTATGGCTGGTAAGACGGATTTCTTGTTCAAGACCATCAGGAAGGAGTAGCGGATAGAGCTCTGCAATTTAATCCACATGATTTTTTGATTATTTATTACATACGATGGGTTGTTCAGGTCCCGTGTTAATTTTATCAACTTTTACAAATATATAGAAACTATTAAGTAATTGTTACATATATATATTTTAACATTAGAAAATATTCGCAATATTATGTATTAAAAAAGAAAGAGTAAAGACTATGGAATACAAAAAGTGTAAACAGTGAGATGTTAGTAGTAGATAAACAAATTGATTTGCTATTGCTTACATTATTGACTTACGTTTTCCATTGCGATTGGCCAATTTGTTTATTGCTTACGTCTTACTTACATTTTTTGTGCGCTATAGTTTTAAAGACATTATTTAGTCAAATGCTTCTAATACGCGAATGTAAATTTTCCCCTCTAAATTTTGGCAAGAAAAAACACAATTAATTATGAAAATCATTTCTACGAAAAGTTAAACATTGTCCAATGTGTAACTCACTCATTATTTATGAGAAAAAATTCGCTGAAGATTCTCGAAGGTTGGCTTTAATATATAAATATTTTAATATGTATTTTAATAATTATTTTAACACTAAGATCCAGCTTAGACCGTTAAGGCTTTCATTACTCAGTGTATTTACACTTTGTATTTACATTTGCGGTCTTAAAACACTGTAGCTGATTCATAATCGGTTTTTATTTTAAGATCATCTTAAGTAATATCTTAAAATGCTAAGCCCGCGTCTAGGTTTTTAAGCCTTAAGCTATTAGAAATGGACGAATCATAGTCCATAGAATTATTCTCCTCGCATTCGACTGTAATTGGTCAGTTTTTTACGGCTTAAGGCTTAAAGTATTTATTGTAGATCCGGACTAACGCTTTCCGATTGGTGTCGTGACATCTTAAGACTGTACAGATAGTCTTAAATACGTATAAGAACCGACTACGAATACCAGCCTTTGTTTATTTTAATAAGTTTTGTGTGAAAATAAACTTTTACCTTTCCACCCCCTAACTGAAACTCCCCAGTAGAGTACGCCCATGTTCTAATATTTCAAAGAAAAGAAACACTCAGAACACGAATGACCTAATCATATCGATGTACTAAGCCACTAAGGGTTAATTCGCAACTCGCAACGGACAGATCGTTAGATCCCCGACGAATGTATGCAGGGACAACAGGCCGAGCGGAGATAAAAGTTTTCTTTCGTTCACGGTTGATCGCGAGCACTGCGATTCGATGATTTCGGTGCACGTGTACACATGTGTGTGCGTGCGTGCGTGCGTGCAGCTTGCACGTACAGAGAGGGTGATAATGTATTCAAGGTCCGCCCCGTGTGCCGCATGGTGGGGTGAAACGGGGCGGCCCGCGCGCTATAGGTACTGTAACAGATGTTAATTATCCCTTCTGTATAGCCGGCGAAAAAAGGAGCTCGCGCTCGCGCTCCTTCCTCGCGGGCACTCGGACATATCGTCCGATCGTACACGCTGAGCATCCCCGCTCGTCGCCGGGCCGCCAGCGCGTATATTCTCGCGGCTACGCCTAACGCGCTCGCGCCAATCGGAGGGCGCGCTCAACTTCGACCGACCCTACTTGCGATTATTCGCACAGATCTTTCTGCTTAAATCTGTAGATCCGTCGATGGGCCGATGTGCCGAGACGCAAGGTGGAAGTAACAATGGCTAGGAATACGTTGCGACGGAATTCTGTTGCATACTGGTAATTCGCACGTACCTACTTTCGTTCTATCGACGTTAAAACTGAAATATTAGAATAAGATAAGCATAAAATAGAAAAACATGGGCTGCGTTTAGGGGAAAAAGCAGCTTTGCAACTGTTGTAAGATGCTTTAATGTAATTGGTTCTTACCCTTAGTTTTCACTGGATCTAATCTTAAAGCAATGCTGTCTAAGATGTGTAATTCTAGGCATTGACGTATCGATATTCATACCTATTACCTTTTTTCTATTGTACTTCCATTAAAAAAAAAGAAGCCGGTAGGCATAAAAATATCGGTATCAAGTTCGCAACTACAAATCACAGACAGCACACTGTAAAAGATCTTACAACAGTTACAAAGCTGTCTCTTTTGCTGAACGCAGCTACTGTTATGTCATTTTCTAATTTTTTATTATTTGGAAATTCTTGGTGCTTTCCAATAAGAAACACAAATGATACATGAATCATTTTATCTTTGTTTAACATTAATAAGCAACAAGGAGGTATTAATTTACTGTGTTGCACTGTATTATCTATGTCTCCTGCTGGAAAGTACCCTCTATTAACTTTTCCAAGTTATCAAAATTTGTAACACATTTACAGATGCTGGGTCTGTGACACTCATTTAAATTATATTAGTTAAAAGACACTAATTATTTTCAAAGATTCAGGATGATATAAAAAAGAATGAATACTAAATATATTTTAATAAGAACAATCAAAATTTGTAGATGTAAAGAGAATTGAATTGTTTAATATTTTTTTACAGAGACAATTTATAATTGAATGAGTTTATAGTAGACTCCTCGTTAACTTTGCACAGAGAATTAAAAAATTATATCTACATATTCGTGCAATGATTATAATTTGTTAAGATTTAATCTTTATAAGACGGGGAAGCCACTATAGTGGCGTTGAAACAGTGTCATATTTTGAGATGAGGAATACAATGGAAAATAATGAATTATAACAAATCTTATTTAAGGAAAATCTGCTAGATTTTAAAAACAGTTCCCTGTCTTCTAAAAGTTAGAATTGAAAACTCAGTTTTGCAAATACAGATACGTATGTCTTTCGAGACGATTTTCTCATTGACGTTGCAGACAAGCGTCAGTCGAGACGGTAGCAAGCTCGGGCTGATCTTTCGAGGACCGGTTGGTTACCGGTCTGAATGGCGGTCTGTCGTGCGAGCAATGCGCAACACAATTTGCGCCTTGATCGAGGAGGCAATAGAAAGCCCTCGTACATCAACCGTGATCGGCACGACAGGTTGGAATTACGGCGCGTGTCGCCGATCCGCGCATCGATTCGACAGCCCTAGGATGGTTTCTCTATTTAAAGGTTAATTATTTACGACTCGGCTCATTAGCTCATCGTGATCGGCAATTACCATTCGGAGGCCGCGACTTCACGACGTATCTTATCGCGTGATCGTCAAATTAAATTTCGTTATCTACTTGTACGATTTGTTGCATTTTAATGATTCGCGTTTAACCTTCAACTATAGCAATGCGTCATTTGAATGAAAGCTAAAATTTTAGATAGGTTGTACCATCTGTACAATTAGTACTATGAGTCTCTAAATTGTACAAAAACTTCGAACCTTTTAATAGAGAAAATGATTTTGAAGTATTAAAAAATTTAAATAATTTCGTTGGAACATCTAAATAATAATGTAAGAAACTCGAACATATAGTGAGCAATGCTGCGGAAAGTGTCGATTTTCTATTTAGTTTGAACATCCTACATAATTATTTTGATAGATCAACAAAATTTATTGTCAGATCTATATCTAACTAAACTTTTATATATTTCATCAAAATCGTTCTCTCCATATATCGCCGTAAATAAAGGTTCACTTGCATTCTGTACTTTAAACAGGGCGCTTCAATTTAGATGTAATTTTCATAGCTATAGTTGAGGATTGAATAAGAAATTTCGTCATTGGGACAGCCATTCTTCTCACATGAGCCATGATTAAACGCGATATTAATAAAAGACCGGCACCGCCGCGGTGAACGCGGCTACCCATCGGCTACTCATCTCGCGACGGGTTTCCTGAAGGGTTGCGGTCCGACATCGCGCCGGGGTCAAACCCCCACGCCAAAAAAGGCAAACGGCCATACGTGTGCGATGTAGACGATCGCGCAATGAACGGCGGGCATGCCGGCAGAAGCGGGTAAGAAGTCATTTTCCAACGGATTGAAATTCCATTTCGCCGTTTCTCATTGCGAGAGAACCAAACCCGAGAGCCGTAAGGCCATGAAATGACAGTTAGTGCGAGTATAACCCCTCCGAGATAAACCCTTTCGATTGGTTGGACGTTAATGTGCTTATCACGCCGCCTGCACGTCCTTTTATTGTTTCTCTCTCATTTCTCATTTTTCTTTCTTTCTCTTCGTCGGTCGTCTTCTCTCCTTCGTGTCTTCTCTTCTGTCACACTCGCTCTCTCTTTCTCTCTCTTTATCTCTCTCCTTCGGGGCGTACCGTTGCCGCCGTGCGACACGACAGCGTGTAATGGGCTTAAAGGTCTGCATTCCAATAACCGAGAAACGAATTGTCGTGCACTCGCGCGTTATCGCGCCAGCCCGGTCGGTCGCCCAAGACTAGCAGCGCGAGCGAGACCAGCACCAGCGCTCGTATATCACCGTAGCTTTTGTTACGGCGACGTGCCTTTGTTTTCGCCTCGTTTTCGCGATTCCTTTACATTGCTCCCTCCTTAAGTCTAGTACAAACTCGAAAACATCGTCGGCGAGTATATTATCGAGACTCGGAACAAGTCGTCGACTTCATTCGCGACTAAATTGATCGCGCATTTCGCGGCCGGGAATTATCTCGCAATGAATCGAAATCGATTCTTACGGCAATGATTCCCTTTTGTCCGAAGGTATAATATCTGTACGCATCAGAAGGCAGTGCCGCTCCTCGCAGATCATTCTCACATGTCAGAACAGAATACGTGAGAAGCAGATCCGCGCATTCGGCTGACCGGAATTGAATATTATTTTATATTTTGTTCCAGGATGCGGTGAGAAGCCGGCTGGTTCGCGAGATTCGAGATGTCCGCCGTAACCAGCCCATATGGCCCCGGTAAGACACTTTGCATTCTCGAATCAATTAGATGCTAGATCTTCGTTCTACGCGAAATATATTAGTAGCCCATTGGCAAAAGTTGTTATCTCCACTTGACATTTTTTGTTGCTTAGAGCGAAAAACTTGTATAATTTTTCTCATTCAAACTATCGAGGAAACCATTTTTTTAATTGAGAAAAATTTATTTTAGTTTTAGTTAACAACGTGTATAATATGGTATGAAAAATATAATTTCTATTTATTAGAGTGCACTTGACTGGTTTTGCAGTTGGAGGAAAGATTTTAGTTAATTTTGAAACAAAATGTTTACTATTTTTATCAAATATGATTGATGGTTGTAACTATACTTGTAGTAGTAAGAATTGGGAATATATATTTTTTATAATTAGATTTACTTTTTTCCCTTGATTTTATAGGATTTGTAATTGTAGGGTTTGTAATTTCAGCACATTTTTAAAACGTTCAATTCGTAACCAAGGAGCTGAGGGATTCAAATATCTTATTTTTTAAATTTTTGGATATAGCAATTTTTATATATCGGCTACTCATATAATAATAAATTAATCTTATATTTATCACGAGGTGCTTTAAAAAGTCATCAAAGCATTAAGGTTTTCAGCAACAATTATACGAATGTATTTTTCTCATATCGTTCTATGTGAAATATATCGTAATAGTAATAAATTTATCTTTTTATCATGAGGTGCTTAAAAGTCATCAAAGCATTAGAATTTTTAATAACTTTAATAATAATAATCTAGACAACAATCGCGAATGTATCTTCTTCAGGAATGCTGAGCTCGGGAGAGAATCCATTACTATGTTATTATTGTTATAACCAACGATTTTCTGCATTTGCACTAAGAAATTCTACATGAATCACAGACCGATCATTTGCGTCTAACAAGTGAAAGTAACTTAAATGCCGCATTGCAAGTATATGAATCGCGGTATTAATTTTATGGAACGTTTATACGTAGCACCATCGATGTTTCGAGAAGAATCGTGCGCTTAGCGTCCGAGTTCGCGGGATTGTAATTGACGCTAAAAGTTGATATCTATTAACTGCAATATGAGAAACGAAGCGAGAAACGCGCTACGCGGCATCGCCTTGAAACGCCGAGGCATTCGTTATGCGAAATTAGTGACTATTGTCGCCTCTACCTTCGTAATGTAAGTACCGAGATACATTGCTCATTCAGATTGTCTTTATTCTCACCCGACATACCGGAGTTTATTTGAGAGACTGACGGATGTAAAAATGAGGCGAAAAACAGCTTGAGATCGGACTCGCTCGGTTCTTGCGCACATGCCATTAGCGTCGGTTGAGAAATGGAACGATAGGATTATAGCGGCTTATCCAAACAAGACAGCGATCGAGTGAATTTCATCTTTCATCAGCGGAGATGCTTTCCGACTCGGTCTACAACTACGCGACGACCCGACGGGGCGCCGCCGATCAGGACAGCGACTCCCAGTACGAGGCCCAGGCCCAGTTGCAGATCACCAGCAGCATCCAGAGCAAGCCGCGGAACAAGCGGAAAAACTTCAAGCCCATAAGCAGCCGGATGGCGGAGATATCCGACGAATCCGAGAGAGACGACGACGAACCGGAGGTCGTGGAGGAGAGTTCCAGCGAGATCCTCGAGTACGAGAGGAAAATGTTGTTGCCGGCCGACGAGAGATCGAAGCAGAGACTAAACAACAACGAGGCCAGTCCGATGGACCTCTCGGTCACCACGAGACCGCCGTCCTCCGAAGCCGACGACGATAGCGCGGACTCTCTCAGGCATAAGTTCATCATCGAGCAACTGAGGTCGCAGAAGTTTTACTCCCCCGGTACAGAAGTAAGTTATGATCAACTGATCCTTGCTTTCTGATTTCATTTATTTAAGCATATTATTTGGCTGCACAATATTAGCTAAAAGAATCAACCAAATAATCAGATAAAAGAATCAATATCAGCTAAAAGTTTTCGTCATGAATATATCCTGAAATTAACTGCAAGAAATAAAACAAATAATTTATAGCTTATAATGGTTTATGCAGCGCAATGAAGATATTTTGCTGTAGTTTTAAATAAATAACTTTTAAACGAATAAAAATTGGTACAAATGAACGTTTGTATAAATATTTAGTAGAGTTTTATATTTAAAAAATTTGATTTAATTCGTAATACTACTTTCTCATCAAATTTACAAATAAGTATTACAAAACACAATTTTACACAAATAGGTATCAGACATAATAACAATTTACGAAATTTTTATATGTATTTTTGATGCTTTGATATATGACATATACATCCTTAACCCAAGATATTTGTTCTCGAATGTATCCAGGCGAGAAGCCCAAACTCCGATTCATCGGATAGAAGCGGGAGCGGCGTCTTGGATGCGGAATCGTCTCGCTTGGACGATCAGGATATCCAATTCGAAGATGAGCGGGGCAACGATGTCGATGGCGAAGTCGAGATCGAAGAGCGGAAGCCCTTCGAGGGCATGAGGGAATACGCGGAATCAACGATGCAAGAACTTCTGGCAATCTATGGGCTGGCGGGAGGCGAACTGGCGAAATCGGTCAGCAGGCAACTGCCGCCCACGTTCCTCAACCCGAACGTTGGCCAGCAAGCTCAAGGTAAGTGACCTCCAAAATTCAGCGGTTTATATTCGATCGAATAAAGTGATCCATAAAATTTCAATGCATAAAGTATAACGCAATTTTTAAACATTTTGCAAGGATTATTTTAAACACCATCATATTATCATTCTAATTAAAATCAGTATTACGATTCTGGAGTCTATTAAAATCATTATCGATTAGCGTTATTAAAATCGCCCACATTGATCTGACGAAATTGTTAGATGGATCAGAATGCATGAATTGGCAAATTCGAGACTGATGTAGGATTGATCATTGGCCGCAACTGGTCGACATTCGCGATCGAGTTTGGCCGGGTATTAATTCCGTGCCTCACTTGCTACCAGAGTTATCAATCGACGAAATTCCAAACGCTGTCATCGCGTTTTTTATGATTATTATTATTATTATCATCAAACTGTTGCTTTATTGAGGTGTGAAAAAAGTATAAATTAGCATATCTGTGGACATTCATGATAACAATTATAATATCGGATATAATTTCTCAAAAGGTGAGATATCGGTTATAGAGCTCTATATTTATAAAAGTAGCGCATTGTTTTTATCTGAAGCATGCCGACAATCAATTTCCTATTGGTTACTTTCCCTTCACGTTTTCCTATTGGCTAATTTTGATCTCCTTTTTCCTAATTGGTCTATTGTCCAATAAACGTTTAGTAATTCTTTAATATGATATGGTTATTAGGTCAAACATGGCGGTCAAACATGGCATTTGCGCTACTCTTACAAATAGAGCTTTAATCGGCAACACTGCTGCTCAGACTGCTGATAGACTGAATTACGTTGAATTTACTCCGAGGAAAAAAAACGAAATGAGTTAATATTTGCGACAAACACGTGGGCGTGTATTCTTCCGGCGATTTGTCGAGAATCCACTGATCGCGCCGCGCTGGTAGCCGCGATCATCGTTCGATACAACGTGAATTAGAAGCCTTTGCCGAGCAGTGGCGGTTACGTCAGCCGGCATCGCGATAAACGAATGCACTTCTTGCGATATGTGTGCTCGCACGAGGATGGGGGAGCTCGTATGAAGAGTCGGCGGCTTTCGACCGGGACTGTACGTGCACCAGAACAGAATGTGGCACTTACATATTGCCGGTGCATCGCATATGTGCGCACGTGAATATGTGATGGCTCTCGCAAGATGGCCGACTTATAACTCATAAAGTCGGTCGGTCCCGACTGTGCGCTAAGCGTCGACCGCCGACCCGCGATCGATGGATGCCTTCGAGATCAGCCAGCGTCATCGTTTCCCGTTGCGCGTGGCGACCAGCGTGGGTTGACGCTCGAGAATTCCCTGCGGTCCAGAATTCTCAAGTCCGCTTTAACTTACGTGCTCTTTCTCTCTCTTACACACACATACACACACACACACAGAGCACCTTGGATGCGAATTATTTGCTTGACGAAAATAGTTTTCGATATGCGTATCCCGGAACTTTGATTATAATATAAATAAAGAATAGAATGCTGACATATAGAATACTAATAGAACCACAAATTAATTTATTCATTTTGATTCAGTGATTTTTATTGACGATAGCTGTAACAATGTATGAATATATGATTCTTAATGAATAATCCAATGCTACATAGACATTTCCAGACAAACTTGAAATGATATTACGGAAATAATGTAAAATTGGTTACAACGTTATGTTAACGAACAAAGGCCGAAGTGAAGAGTTTCCACTTGTTTCTCACCGTCCTCCAACTGGTCGCCACCTACGTGCAGGTGACGAGGAACAAAAGCCGGGACATTTTACGGTACTACGTATCGTTGCGATTGATACAAAAAAATTTTAATTTATCATTTAAAATATCATGTAAAGTATCATCTTAGCAATGACGCATTAAACAACGATAAAAAAGGGAAGAACAGTTCTTAGAAAAACCTCATTCGAACCTCGCCTTGACGATCTGACAAACAAATATGTTGCGTATTTGTTTCTCTGAGAATATGTTGCCATATCATATCGCGCTATTCTGATGAAATAAAATACTCTACAAGAGTATATTAACGTCTAGGAACACTCATGACACAATTATATTGATCACATCGCTTCTCTTCGTGCTAGTTAAAAAAAGTCGACTTATGCTCATTCGAAAAGAACGGTTTTGCAGAAGTATCTAAAAATTTATGCAGATTTGAACTTGTAGATTAATCTAGTTATAGTTAGTTGCTAAAATATCCTAAACTTTTTGCAGGATTGTTCGTCTGATCCTTACAGAAATATAATTTAATACTGGAAATATTTTGAATATTAAACTGGGCGATAACCCCTTTAATACTCAAAAATATAAGTATTTAATCACTTCTTTCCAGTATTAAATTTTTGTAAGGGGAATTTCCTACGTAATTATTATCATATTATGATGATCCAACAAAATTATTTTCAGATCCGTATCTATCTAAACTTTTAGATACTTTATTAAAATCGCACGACCTTTATTCTATGTTTTCAAACTTTTGTTACGATCTGTTGGATCAAATATCAGATTAATTTTCTGTCAGACTTTTCGTTCGGACTTAATCGCTCCATTTCATAGCGCCGCGATATTAATGTGATACAACGAGGGCACAGAAAAGGTGTGTACCAGTGTCGTACAATCGCCATGCTGAGCGAGCGGGGGAGCAATAATCTGGCGCGAAGAAAAGCAGAAAACTCACACAACTATGCGCCGAGTGGAAGAGAGAGATGGGGTACTACAGTAGGATCAAAGGGTGGGGTCCAATGAGAGGTGAAGAGGGAGGATACCGCGATGCCTCCGTGAACCCATTAATCATTCCACCCGGATAAAAGGTAGTAAGGATGAAAAGAGAAGACGGACAGTCGGACGGACAACGGGCAGGCACGCAGCAGACGTTGGAAGGAGCAGATAGAAGAAAGAGGAAGAAGGAGGACTCCTTTCCCCTTTCTCCGTCCGCTTCCTCTCTCGCGAGCGCGAGCAGGATCATTTTTTATTTTTGTCCTTTTCGAAATTCGTCGGACGCCTCGCCATTGTCAAGACCCGCGGAGACTCTCGAGAGACAGGGCCTCCTCCCCGGGGCCTCCGGGCGTCGTTCCGTCGCACGGGGCCAGATTCATTAACTGATAGCACACGATTCCTCCCCGGCTCGATTACGTTTTTTAACGATATCCGTTCGCAGCGCTGAGTCGGAAGAATGATCATCGAATCCCACCCGTCGGGCGAGAAAATCCGCTCCATGTTCGAAATCGGCTTGGACCGACCGATCGACGGGACCATCTCTTTCTCTCCACGTATAGATAGTCGTTCAATTTAGCGAGGCTTTAAAAAGTAATCGACGTTATAGCGGATGATTATCTACTTGAAAAGACACACGTGTCCTAAAAAGAAAGAAGAAGAATTCTAGAGTCCGAAACTCTCCAGTTGTTTCTAAATCTCTATCTTGTCGCATGTTAAAAATCTCTTTAAAAAAAGAATTCTTGGCGAAAAGATTCCATTTCGAAAAATGAACCTTCTAGTCTGAGAAAAAGGTTCGGTCGCTGTGAACCCTTTGTTAAGAAACATCGGATTCAAAAAGCCAGCTAACTCGACTGCTATTCAACGAATCTGTTGTATCTACTGGCCGGGTTTAATTCGAGACGTTGGTAGGAATGGAACAGCGAATCGATGGTATTAAAGAGAGGGGAACGGCGGGGGGATCTGGATCAGCCTGGTTACGAGCTTTTATGTACCTCGCTCGGTCACATATATATGAATTAGGTATGATGGTCCCCGAGGACGAATCGTTGCGAGATCGAAATCGGAGCTTCCTTCTTGAATGCAGACAAAGAGCCCCCTTCTTGGTTGACGAGAGGCGTTAAGGATCTCTGGTGGTCGAATCCAGTCGTTGAATCGAAAATTTGTGATGTATTTCGATGAAATTTATGCAAATAGAAAACGGGAAAAGAGTAAGAAAAGGAAAATAGTACCAGAAAAACAGGTTACGTTAGCTGTTTTACCTTAGATTTTTATTCTTATTCTTAAGCTTTCTAAATGATTTATGTTACGGATGGCAATGTTTTTCACAATTTCCTGTTTTATCAGATATTCACGATAATACGCGAAATATATATCTCGCACTCGACCGAGAATATTTTCTGCTAAACAGAATGGAGGAAGAAGAAGAAGGTACAGAGAAAGATCGACGAATCTTGCAAGACGTTGATCGTCGCTGAATTCCCTCGGTGCGACGAGATCGTGAAACGTTTTATGAAAGCTTTTATGAAAGGCTTTACGAGCCACGGACCGAACTGGGGCCCCGAGTTCGCTTCTGCTACACACGTGCTGTCACAGCGACGAGCCCCCCCCTGAAACCCCGCGGGGCCCTATTCTCGTCCTCCACCTCTCTTTATCTTTCCCTCTTTTACGCGGCTCTGCAACGAGTCGCGTTTTCTCTATCGATCCTCGAAAGTGCCTCGTTTTTCATCATCATCATATCCATCGTCAATACCTCGTTTCTCCCTTGATCACGTCCTTCTCTCTTTTCTCGTTTTCCTTTTTTTTTCTCGCACTCTTCTCGTTCATTCTCGGATATATTTCATAGCCAGTATTTTCCTCGGCTGAAATTTTTTCGCGACGTCAAAGAGTAAAGCTTAGATTAACGTTCTGCGAGAGTACTGGAATGCCG